ATTATATATAATTTCCAAAGTTGGAAAATTAGAGCATTCTCTGACAAATGGGCATTCTTAAGACACAGTTTATCTATGGTAGATCATACAGAAGAATCACGTGCTGTGAGTGCCAATTTCTTTTCATGACACTATTTTTGCTGTGACTTCCAATATAACTGAGTTTAATCCTAGATCCACCTGCTATTAATGGGAGCTGCAGTACCAAAAAGAGAGCTAGATGACTAGAGGCTGGCCCTTAGGTATAAATCTGTTTTTAAAAAGTCAGGGGCCATAAGACTAAACACTGGATGAGCTTAGAGCTATTCAGGTATTAAATTCCTCTAGGAATTCCCAATGACAAGAAAGGTAAGTACCAGGAATTAACAGGGACCGGGGCTTTGCAGCACTGTGCCAAATGTTATGTTGGGTGTAAGTATCTCATGGCCGTTTCCGCAAGCCAAGTGTTTGTGTAGCATGTGGTATGCTTCTAAAATAACATGAAATGCAGGGTGAGTTCAGGATGCAGTGTTACGTGTGCCAACTAGCATGCTGCTCCATTGGTCAGGGTGCCTTCTCCAGAGCAAAACCTCTGATCAGAAAGCTGCAATCATTCACTCAGGGGTTAGTCTGTAGCTTTGGTTACCGTGGGATAGACGAGGGGCAAGAAAGGGGCCGCCCACAGTCTAGCGTGTTGTTGCCACTTGCTGTGTATTTGCTGACCAGGGGACTACAACAGTAAACAGGAGCACAGGTTCCAGTCAAGTCTGTGCTCATTTTTGGAACTGAAATGCCACTGACCATTAGGTATGCTGGGAAGGTGTCTTTGCTTGCCACTCAAAAATTAAAGCAATGCATGCTAATGAACAGGCTATCAGTACCTGATGTACCAGTATTTTTCCCTGCTAGATGAATGGCAGTATGGTGTGGAAACAAGAGGTCTGTATAAAACCTAGAGCCTGCTCTGATCCTTTCTACCTTCTTCCTACATAGCAAATATGGACCAAAACATTTGCAGCAGCTGCATCGACTTAGTATACTCTGTCTTTCAAAAGGCTCCTAATCTAAAGTTCCCATAGGGGTAGTTGTCCCTGCAGACCTGGCCAGTCCTGATACCACATGAGGCTGGAGTAGAAGTTTTTAATCAGCCCAGAGTTGCTCAGATGGGCTCTGGAAAGAAACCCCCAACTTCCATTCCTGTGGGAGCAGGGAGTGCTGGGTCAGACCGCCACCGGGCACTCCATTTTCATTAAATGGAAAACCAGCTCATGCCTTGAGGACAGAATGCTAGTTTTTCCAACAGGCAACTGGTGAGCATGCTGGAGACCAAGAATTAAAACCCAATCTTGAAGTACTGCTAAAAGAATGAATTTAAGGCAGGCAAATCACGCTAGGCAAAGCAGAACTGCACACCGTACGCCTGCGAATCCCCCAGGCAATGTTTTGAATTAGTGATCTCTTGCACTGCTTCCACCCTACTACACATTTCTTATTTTTCAAATAACATATGCATTTGAGAAAATCACAATCTGGTTTTAAATAACTGGGGGGGGTGGGGGGTGGGGGGGTGGAACTAAAAAGCCTCCAAAAACCCAGATGCCAAATTCATTTTGAGATTTTTCCCCCTCTCCACTATCCATCTACGTTACCACCAGTCCTGTTCATTACTCCATAATTCTTACCTGAGTGAAATCAAGAGGTGAGTCCAGCCTCCCTGTCCAGCCATGAGACAAGTATCTCTTACAGGGAGCCAGCAGTGTGTTTGAGTGCCCCATCAAACTCCCCCGCGAGCTGGGTCACAGCCTTTAGGGCTGCTGAAGGCTCTGCCGAAGCCGCTGCAGACCCAGGGCACAACACTTCACACTGGGAAGAGGTGCTGGTGGCAGGAGCATGTACCCCATAAATGGTACATGCTCTTCTGGTATGGAGTATTGGAGAGGACCGAGGTATTACTTCTCGTCCCCTCAACTTAACTTACTCAGTTGCATCCATTTTTTAGTATAAGATTTCCAGAGGACAGACGTTGCCAGGTGTCCTTACCCACACAACACAAGTGAATCAGAACTTGAACTCCCAGCTAAATCATTACCACCACTGGTGGCTCAGACAGTGGCAGTACAAAAGAATTGAAGGTCATTCGTGAGAAGCAGGGCATGCACTCAACCCCCTGCTTTCTGCCTATCTTCTTCCAAACCAAGAGCATTGCAGTTAAGATGAGCTACCAGCACAAAATGAGTGGGCGACTGTGCCAGACATGCCTTCATCACAGCAAAAGTGAGATGGAGGAAATGCAGAGTTTTAGGGGATTTTTAAGGAGCATGAGTTTGTGCTTCCCCTGATTAGAAAATGCATTAAAAATACATCTTTTGGGGCTGATCTAAGACAGAAGGAAAGAAGGTTCATAACTGCACTTACGTGAATCCCAAATTTTAAAACACATCCAAGATGAGTGAGCGGGAATAAAACCTGTTCTGGTGAGCCTTACTCCTCAGGAATTCCCATTTGCTGGGAAAGAGGTAAACTCTGTTTTCAGGGAAATCAGTCTATTGAAGGGAGAGCAATTTCTCCCAATTGGAGTGTGAAGCATAACATACCCCACTCTTAAATCACTTATATTTTACTTTTTTATGATGCAATCGTGAATTAGCTTTTTCTGCATTTGTAATTAGAGGATAGAACAGATGGTCAGGGCTTAGTTCAGGGTGATAAATCCATTAAGATAACCTACAGAAAGCTGCTGCTACAGTGGTTGCTGCCAAATAACGGTTCATTCAATGCTTTGTTCAGGCTTTGGGCGCTGGGTGGAAGAAGAACCATCACAGTTCTTCACTGCCTTAAGGCACGAGGGAAAAGAAATCACACACAAGTTTGGGGAATGTATTATTACTGTCCAGGTGGCTCAAGGAACTTGGATGGTATGATACAGGGGATGCATGGAGCAACCCCGGGGAATAGCCTGGAGTTGTTGCTTCCCAACAGCTGCCCCTGCAGATACACTCACTCCATCAGAGTGCGTGTCTACTTTTCAAAGTGGATGAAATTTAGCCGAACAAGGTGGCTTGATTGCAGAATAGAGTTTTCTATCAAGGAGTGATTGCAAAATATCCATTTCACTTTGAATTCATGTCTTCACTCATTTTGCAAGAAATTTCTCAAAGCATTTAGAATCCTAGAATAATTTATGCTGGACAGGACCTATGGAGGGCATTTGGTCTAATCCAACTCAAAGCATTTGTCACAGTGGACCAAACCTTCCAACTGGAACTATTCTGTTCTGTTCTGTTCTGTTCTATTCTATTCTATTCTATTCTATCCTATTAACATTCCATCCTTAGACTCCAGCAGAAGGCTCCTGCTTAAGCTGGTCCACAAATACGACCTATTTTTTTCTAAGAACAGAGGCCAGAATAATTAGGTATCTTATAGCTTATGATTAGCAGAAAGATATATTAAACTGTAGAGCAAACAAGGCAAGAATTTGTGTGTTCATTATTTCTGATGATGTCTTTGACCTGAATCACAGCAGGTTACTCCACAAATTAATCTCAGCAGAATCCATGGGTTATCTTCAGGGAGGTTCAGATCTGCATTCAGTCTCTCTGTGCCTCTGGAAACCAGCAATACCCTTTTCCAAGATGCTTTAGCACTTCTGCTACTAATTCAATTTTTGCTGAAATCCCTTTCCATCTTTGGAATTCAGCACCGGCGCATTACCACATATCCTTGATAGTGTTTCTATGTGGAAACAGTATCTCCATATACCAGGAGCTGTGACTTTCATCACATCTGAGCAGCTAGAAACTAGCTGTGGAGTTGTATCAAGTCTGTTAGAGGAGAGGGAAGATTCTGCTGAGGAAGATGATCCTGCGATCATCTCCTACAAAAGCAGTGAGGATTTCTGTGGGGAAAATGAAGCCTGCCGCAGGTACAACCTAGCCACCAAAGTGCTCATGCCTGTCCTCCTTTCTCCATTCTCCGGGGACCTAGGCACACAGTACCACTACATACGACAGGTCCAAGCCAAATTCTTGTATGCTGAGGTCCCGTATGTTTCAACGGGAACGTCCCGTAGGAGGGGACATACATTAGGTATGACAAAATTAGCAGAGGAAAACTAATTGCATACAAATGCATATAAAATAAAAATACAACTATTTCAGTGTTTTCTTCCATATGTAGTAAAGTCGAGGGGCTTTATTAACAAAAGCTGCTTAAGCAGAGGTTTGAATTTGAACAGGGTTCATTTGATTTCTGCACCTCACCACTTCCTGGATGACTGCTCAGTATCTGCCAGCGTAGGCATTATGTGATGCTCTGCTTGTCCCCAAAGCTGTCAGTCAAGACAGAGCCTGGGCTGGGAAATGGTTAGAGCCCGAATAAATATTCGCAGGATAGTCTGGACCGTGACCACTTCCCTCCTACTCTCGCCTTCACCCACCTACACACATGCTGCTGCTGCTGCCTCAGTGCAAAGTAATGCTACAGGAGGAGCTGAGAAGCTTCTCCCCCACCTACATACATCTGATAAGACGTTGTGCTTTTGATGAGTGACCCTTCCCTGGATGCAGCTTGTGCATGTGCTGGAGTCAGGCGATGTTTTTAACAATAAACCCACTGAATTACAATTTAGGGAGAATTTACTTGGAAATTTACATAAGGTAGCTAGGGGAGACTTTTAACTGCTTCCCCTTGTGCATAAGGGAGAAAAAAAGGAGGAAAATTAAGTAAGAGCCTAATTGGCTTTTATAACAGTCTACGGGGAGAAATGCAGGCCCGTTCTCTGCCTAGCTACGAAGCCTGGTATGTGCTGTAACCATGGGAGGCAATATTACAGGCGTGACAGGACAATGATTTGGTTTTTCAGCACTGAAGATGTGAAAAATGAAATACATCCAGCCAGGGGGGTTGTCTTCTGCTTGAGGAAGACCTGTCATGCCAGTTTGGAGGACTGCAGGTCAGACTTTTGTCGGAGGGAAAAATGGAGGATCTGATCTGCCAGTGCACCACTTCAAATGTGGATCATGGGTGTTGGCATGAACAGGATCTGCCTCTTCCACTACCACGCTCATTTTAATCAAGGAGCGGCTTGCAATAAACTGGATAACAGAGAGGATGACGAGGCTAGGGCGGACGAGCCTAATGCTTTCTGCTCCCGCTGCTCCCCGGGGTACACGGCCCAGGTGCTCGCTCCCCTCCTCCAGAGCCCCAGGAGGATGGCACAGCAATGGGCCTGTATTGGTTCAGTTCCCACTGCCTGGAAATTGCTGCATTTTGGGATAGTACCAATAACAGAGAGCTGCAAAGAAGATATTGATGGTTCATTTTTTATTGAATTTTGTCTTTTAAAAAAGCGCCAGTTAAATCAATGTCAATTACATTAAAACATGCAAGTTTCAGGACTAATCGCTTTATCTCACCCTCCTTCATTTCCCAGCTACTTCAGGGAGAATTCCATTGATTACCTGTCCTCGTCAGCAGCAAACACTGCCTGAGAGCAAGGCCAAGAATGGGAGGGAAATGCCTCTCTGCCATGGTTGAACTGGAGACAGTGGCAGTGAGCCCGGGAGCAACCCCATCGACTGCCAGCACTTCCCAGCCCTAAGCCGTTTGCCAGAACTGGGGGAGTGTCAAATTGGGTCTCTCATCTCCAAAGACTCCCTAACATGTTTCAGTTCCCTCCTAAACCATGGCTAAACGACTGGTATAAGATGCCATAGGAATAACCTAGAAGGGGTTTGGAAAGATCTTTCTCTGATCTTCACTTCCCAAAATGGCTGAACACAGAAAAATGTTGTCCTGCCTACAGCATAGATGCTGCCCTCTGCCAGCGCCGAAAGCCCCGGTGAAGCCCACTCCCCCGTGCCCAGCAGCACTGCTCTCCCACCATCCTGAATCATGGTCCTGAGGACTTGACATCTCCAGGATTTTTATCGAGGTACTCCGGCTTCACTCCACTGTGTCTTATTATATAGGACAAAGCCATTAATCAGCTGTGTGCCCCCCTCTCCCCTGCTGCTGCAGAAAGTGAATGCAATCATCTACAAGCCTTGCTGCTATCTGTCTTTCGGTGCATGGCTTCGTGGATCTGAGCAGAGGATTTGCTTACAGCCATGGTACTGATCATACGCTGTGTTGGATATCATTGAACTCATCATCTTAGACATGAGGATGGTTCAATAAGAAGGGTGTGTATACACAGGACTGATCACACAACACTATTTTTTAGCTTTGATTTAAAAAATAGGCTAGAAGAATTAGATTGAAAAGAAAATCATTTTGTATTAAACACCATTATTAGCTTTGTTACCTGATGCAATCAAAACAGTTCCTTCCACACCATCCAGTAATGATGAACTAATTCCAAACCAGAAATGGAGCCACTGGGGAAAAAAGCAGACAACAGCATTAAAGCTTAACCTGGCAAACTGACTTGTGTTTAGGTTCACCTTTTAAGGACAGGAGACCAAATTAAACTACGGGTCCTATTACAGGTATATTTACAGGCCAAGGCAAAGCAGCTGTGACTGCAAATCACACCACGTAAACAAGTAGCCACCTAGCACACCGCCTTCGCAATTAATCAATACAACTAAGAGCAATGCCTACAACATGCATTCAGGAGAGCAAGAGCACTTTTGCATGCAAATACCAGACTTGTTCTCCTTCAAAACAACCTTTAACAGCTGCAAGCAAATGCCTCGACAGGAATTTGTCGTATCTACGGCTGCAGTGATCGTTCAGTTTTTAAGCCGATCTCTTTGCCTCTCGGTAAGAAGTGCTTGAAACCTTCACCTGCAAATGCCGCATCGGTATTTAAGCGGGTGCTTTTACTCATTGCTTTTATGAGGTGCGATTATTTAGGTTGAACGCACCGATTAGACGTGCAACCTGGCGGGGCGGGACCGGGGGAGCCGCCGG